ATATCCTTTGGCTTCATAGTTCCAGGATATAGACCATTATGATGGAAAGTCGAGGCAGAAGGAGCAAGAGACAGCTTGTCACAATGCATCCAGAGTTAGGAATTGGAAAGAACGAATGCTATTGTTCAGTTCACTTTCTCCTTTGAACTCAGTTGTAGAACCCAGGCCACAGAATTATGGCACCCATATTAGGGTGGAACTTTCCTATCTCTATTTAATTTATACAATCCCTCATAGATATGTGCAGAGGTTGATTCAACTAGACAGTTTCTCCCAGGCTTGCCCAGAGGCTTGTTTCATAGGTGAAACATCCTGTCTGACTTAAAATAGTAGCCATCATAATTATCCTGTGTAGTTTTTATATAAAATTTGCAATGTATTTTTGTTCTCTAGTGGGTCAAACAGACAAAAAGTCACATAGCTCTTTAGGTATGATCCAGGTATTAAATAGAGTTTTATCTTCAATCAAAAATCCTTTTCTGGGCTAGGATTGTAGCTGTGTTGGTAGAATGCTTGTCTAGTATGTATGAAACCTTGGGGTGCATCCCCAGCACTATATAAGCTGTTGGAGGGGCACATGACTGCAGTTCCAATACCAAGAGGTGGATGTGATACAGGCCAAAGTAGTTTCTTCTTAAGGTTCTTAGTATCATTCTGTTCTCTTTCTAAACACACAAGTCATGTTGTGAGCATCCAGAAAAGACACTGTGAACTGGCTCCCCGGCCAAGGTAAGCAGAGGACGGATGTTGTGTGACTCATTCAGTGTTCATACACAGTGGCTGGGACTACAGAACTTGAACAAATCCTAGAATCAGGCCATGGCAAATACCATTCCATCAGGAAGTGAATTTGCATATAGGTCCCTTCATATAGCCTTGAATTTCCAATGCCTCTGTACCCAGCCTCCTCCATCTGCCTGGCTACTGTGTAACCCAGCTGCGGTATATGTTGGAGGTATTTTGCTCAGCATCATTGGAGAAGGAAAGTGAATCTGTTTGTTTCTGGGTGCTGTCAACAGGAAAATAATCACTTAATTATTTCATTTATTTCTATGAAAATAGCAAATTATAATTTTTGTAAATTACTCGTCTCTCTCCCCTTTTTAGTATAAAACAATCCATGGACATGAGCACATTTTAAGCCCAAGCACCAACACTAAGTATTGAAACTTCTAGGCTAACGAAATGTCTTTAAATATCTCAACACCAAATAAATCCACTAAAAGAGGAGAAATAGCAGTAAAAAAAAAATCTATCAATAAACGGATCATGTGTTAATACTCATTTAATTCAAACAGGATTATTTTTAAGTAATCACTTAATTTATTTAGTTTTTAGGTATTTTTTTTACACTTTTATTAGCATGATGGATCTTAGTATGATATTTCCATACATGTATGTAAGGTAATTTGATTACGTTCACCCTGTCATTGTTTTCCCTTCTCTGCTCCCACTTCTGCTGATCCATCACTCTCCCAACTAGCCCCCTTTCTACTTTCATGTCTTTATATGTTTTTTTTTGTTTTTTGTTTTTTTTGATGACACCATGAGTTTAATTAGAATACCTTTTAGGTGAGGGGCTCCTTATAGGAGCACAGGCAATTTCCCAGTGACTTTTCCACTAAAGAAACTTCCTCCCCTTCTCCAGCATCCATTCACTCTATGCAAAATTTCTCAGGGCTGGGGATTGAGGTAGGATCTCCTTGTAGCCTCAGTTGACGTGGAACTCTCTATGTAGACCAGGCTGAACTCTTTCTCACAGCGATCTACCTGCAACTGCCTCCACAGTTGGGATTAAAGGTGTGTGCCACCATGCCCAGGTTTTTCATTCTTTCTTTCTTCCTTTTTTTTTTTTTTTAAGAATTCCTTTTTATTTTTGTTTGATTTTGGTTTTTATTATTTTATTTGTGATATGAGTGTATTGCCTGGATGTATGTAAATAGACCCATGTCATTCAATACCTGAAGAGGTCAGAAGAGGGCATCAGATTCCCTGGAACTCTAGTTACAAACTGTTGTTAGCCACCATGTAGGTATTGGAATTAGAACCCTGACCATCTGTAAGAGCGGTCAGTACTGAGCCATCTCTCCAGCCCTTTTTTTTGAGAATTCTTAAATAAACAAAACAGAAGCAAAAACTGCCAAACACTGCAGTTCTCTAGTCTTAAATGTTGAGGAAGGCCATTTATTCAGGACACTGGTGAGGCAAGTTTAATGTGATAAGATGCATTGATAAGTATATTTAGAAGGTAGATATACCATTTTTAGATTTGTGTAAACATGTTTAGGGTTTTTTTAACTACTAAATAATCCCACACAGATTTGGTTTTATAATTTTCAAATGAGTAGTTGCTCCATGAAGCAATTTGTCCACTGGCTCAGCATCCACATCCCTGGAGAGCTGCAGTTTCAGTACATGTGGATCTAGGATGTTCATGGGTTTTACTTTATAAAATGAGTGCATCAAGGACTGGTTTGGCATTTATAAGGAAATGCTGCTAAACATGGTAACAGCATTTAAGGAGCCATCTGAGTATGGCTGAGCCAATAAAAATTATTTTATATACCAGATATAATAATATATAACACAAAATTCTGTTAAATAGTAGTATAATGCTATTAGTAAATATGAGTCCCACATGTGAAAGTCCATTCATAAAAGTTCCAAGTCTCACCCTGCCTCCACCATGACAGATGAGGCCCTAGAGTATCACGAGTTTGTGATTTACTCCGTGCCATAGAACTGGAAAGCAGGAAATCTTGGGCTGCATTTCAGGAATTCTGTTTGATCTCAGGGTCTCTCCGTGCCTCTTATTGCTTTAGTTTTAAGGAACAGTGAAAGCTGGGGGATTGTTTGTTCAGAAGGAAAAAAAGGAGGGTGCAGCCTGCAATATAACTATATTGTTACTGCTTTCTATGCTTGGTTTTAAATGTAATAACAGAATGGAATTCGTTACTGGTCTTCATTGCTCTGTATTAGGGTATCTGAAGAGCTGCATGTAATCTTCCATTTAATAAGCTGTCAGTTCTTATGGGAAGTGCAGCTGAGAGTCTGTCCCCTGAAACAGGACAGCAACCCACTTCTGGGAATAACCGCAGCCCACAATCAAGCCCGATAAGGAGTCAGAAAAGAAGTGACTTATTTTGAGCAAAGGTGTCAAGTTCACAAGAGGCGAGGCAGCCACCAGAAAGTGGATGACGTGTGTGTTTGAAACTCAAAAGGTCTAGCTTTCAAATCTGAAAACAAAATACATGTCAACATCAGGAGATACTGTGAGCAGAAAACCAAGAGGAGTGATACAATTAAACACATTCATAAGGCAGTTACAGGAAATGATCAAAATAACCATGAAAAACAGCACAATCTAAATCTAGCCTTTCTTCTCTTCATTTGTAGTACTGTGTTGCTGTTACTAAAACCAGGTACTGGTTCTTGGTTTGAGCAATAAATGATTGTGTCACTAGGCCTTCCAAAGACAGATCCATTGTGGGAGATAAGCTGGTATGCCAAACAGTGACCTGGAGCTGGTGGGGTTTGATGTTTTCTGTAGAATAGGTGAAAAGCAGAGTGACTCAAAACTAGTAAGGGTTAAATAAACCATGGCTATTTTCTGTTGATACATGCTTTCCTAAGCTCTCCTGTATTTCTTGAGGCCTGTGTTTTCAGGAAGGAAAACTTACCAACAAAATACCAGGCAGGAATAAGAAGATCCCAAAGTTTGGCAAGAAGAAATTAAGAAGTTAAATAATTTCCCCCAGCATTGCTTAATTATTAGAACTGACCCCCAAAGCAGTCCTGTTTCATTTCAAAACTCCTGCTTTTTCCATCTCAGTCTGCATGTATAAATAAGATGATCTGTAAACCACTGAAAGGTGACAATTATATCTGTAGTTTGCTTTGCTTTTAAGTTTCAAAGTTCACCTTTGTTCTCTGCGAAGCACTGCGGTGCCACAACAGAGTGTAAATGCACCCCCTTCTCTACCTGCCTGCTGTGATCTGTGCATGGGGTCGGGATGGTGGAAAACCTGAACCCTCACCACGGAATCCAGCTCCCAGGGCTACTTTTCAGTTTTCCTAGTGTAGCTTCAACCTGTGGCAGCCCAGCAGCTTGAACCTGTGCTGATGACTGGAGGGTACTACCAATCACAGTTCACAAACTAAACTTCAAGAAGTACAAACACTATTTCAAAATCAGAGGAAAATGTCGTGAGGAGAGCAGATATTAGACTTTCTGAAAGTGTTTGTCCCTGGAATTTTCTTTTCCAAAATTGGGACAATGTTATGTGAGAGGAGAAAATATTCAAGTAAATATGGTATGGCAGCTGGGGAGTTGTAATAGGAGCCTGGCATGTCAAGAGAAAGTTCTCTGCATTCGTGGCCCCCAGGCAACAATTACTCAGTCCTTATCCCAGTCTCTGTCTCCCAGGCTGGGCCTGAATTCCAGACAGAGGGCTTTTTAAGCCATGCCTGCTTCCTCTTCTGCCTGAGCTCTGCTGTGGTAGGGTAATCATGCTTCCTGCTTCCGCAGTGTGAGGACTGTAGGAAGCCAGATCTTGAGACCAGGTAGGAGAAGAACAAGAAAAGAGTTCATTCAGATATTTCCGAACTAATCCAACCAGTGTCAACAAAGGACATCCTGGTTTCCTGGCTGTGGCCCAAATCACCTTACTTCAAGAAGGAGTGTCAGTGAAAAGCCTAGGGGTTAATGACTAATTGACGTCCCTAAGCAGTGTGTGCATTCTCACACACTGGAGCAGGGATCTCGGCACAGTCAAGATCTCAGCTGCAAATGTGGTCAGTGGAAATGAACTCTCAATTCAGCCCAGCAGCACGTGACTTCCTATTTCTGTAAGGTACTTCCAAGAAACTTCCTCTGTAAAACCAGCTGAGAACCAGGAGATTTCATTCAGCACCCAGACGAAGTTTACTTTCAACCCAGGACAGTTTTCCCGAGAGATGGAGTTAGTTTCTTTTCTTTCTTTTTCCTCTGCTGTTGCCAGCGTGCAAGGATCTCGTGGCTCCTGTGTGTGATCGGAAACTGAATACAGTGGTGCAGATCTCAGTAATCCACCCGGTGCAGCAGAGCTTGACCAGATATGCCAGCACTGAAATTGTGGAGGTGAGCGGGGCATGCTTTTTCTGGCTCTGTCTTTTTCTCTATCTCTCTGCTTCTTGCATGCTGTTTCTCTCTCTCTCTCTCTCTCTCTCTCTCTCTCTCTCTCTCTCTCTCTGTCTCTGTCTCTCTCCTCTCTCCTCTCTCCTTCCCCCTCCCCTCGCCTCCCAATAGCTGACATATGCTATTCTGTGTTCTGTAGCCCTGTTGCTTGCTCCTCTCCTCTGTCACTAAGGAGCACATATCTGTTGTTATTAAGTACACACAGACTATACACAATATAAAGACAAATCTTGTCTTTTCATCGAAAGGTTTTATTTTTCTCCCATAGATACAAAACTTTCTACTGTGAATTCTCAAATAGACAGTAGAATATACATGTATATATCTGTAAATATTATATGTATTTATAACAATTTTAAATGAAATGGAATGAGCAATTTGTTGTAGGAAAAAAACTGAAGGACTCAGAATTCTAAACACGTGAAGTGTTTTCACTCTTTTTATTTGTTTCCTGTGTTCAATCTGATTGTGGAAACTTTATCTTCTGTGCTGTATATGTGTCTTTCAAAGCACAGTGTTTTCCAAAGAAAGATAGGTGATTAACTTGAGAAGCTGTGGTATTTCCAGGCAAAAGGTGTAAATATTGCTCATCAATGACATATTTCCTATTTACATTTATTGTTACTAATATAACATTCAGCATGTGTCAGGGGGAAATTCATTAGTGTGTTGGATTGGATTCAAAAGGGGAAGTGTTTCGCTTTTGATTATTTTGTTCTGATCACATATTTCACAACCTTAGTGAATGAGAGATACATTTTTTAATATCTTGGGCTGAAAAAACTGTGCTCAAGGCTCCTTCAGATTCACTTGTTTTTCTTAGACTTTGTGAGCAGCCTCTGTTTAGAATGAGGAGTTTCTCTGTAAGAACCTAGGCAGTCTGCCCTACCCCTGGCTGGCTTAGCTTGCCTGGTGCTTTTATGCAGTGGGTGGAATAAATGATTCAGAGCACACTGGAGTCACGTCTATTATAGGAATGACCCAGATCCTGTGTGTAGCCTGAATCTGCCATTGTACACTTCAGGTTGCAATGCTGGTGGAGTAGAGTTAACCCATAGCTGAATTAAAAATAGCCTTTCTCATAGAAGACAGATTGAAAATTGTAAAATTATTCATTTTATATGAAACAATTTCAGGTGTTATTTTAACATAGTTTTTTGCTTTTGTTTGTTTTGTTTTGTTGTTTTGCTGTAGCCCCAACTGATCTTGAACTTGCTATGTAGGCTGGCCTGGATCTCAGAGAGATCTGCCTACCTCTGTCTCTTTAGTGCTTGGGTTAAAGGTGTGCACCACCACACCCAGCACAACTTGCTTATTTTTAAAACCTTGCCCAATTTTAAAGTAACTTAGGTGTTTATGATTTTTTCTATTACTCCCACTACTTTCCAGTGACAATATATATATATATATATCCTGAAATTTATTATCATAAGCATAAAATAATTCATGCTTGTTCTTTTTAGACTTTTGTATTTGAATATGCAGTAGAATTATTTTTGGCTGTTTTATTCACTGCCTATCTCCAAATGTCTGGTCTAGTGCCAGGCAAATAGCATTTGGTTTTTTAATAATAAAAAAATGAATGAATGAATAAATGAATTAATGAATAACATTAGCTTTCAGAAATTTTCACAGACAAGTGGCTTATTGAACTCTTGGATACATTTCAGTGGTGTGTGTGTGTGTGTGTGTGTGTATGTGTGTGTGTGTGTGTGTGTAGAACACCGCTGAACATCTAAAAACAATCACACACTCTCAGAGGATGACTTTCAACTGAAGCAGAGTAAGAAAACTAAATGGTTACCGTAAGATTACCAAATGGTTGTATTTGAGGAAATAGCTTAATTTTACTTTGATCAGTTAATATCTAGGTTTATTTGTCTAAATTGTAAGTTGCAGCCACTGAATATAGTTTAAATTGACTAACAACTGGCCTTAAAGAAAGGTTCTACATATAATAACTAATTAAGTTGTTTTGCAAGAGTCCTTCTTAGAAGCTCTGACAAAGATGCAGGTCCATCTACTCAATGGCTGTGTGAATAAAATGGGCCCTAGGGTGGCAGCCCACGGGTAACACTTGACACTTCAGATCTGTCTTTTAATACAACTGTTTCCTAGAAGAACAGGCTCAGACACACTCTCTGCATTGTCATGTGTCACCACATGCTGCCGGCTACAGTTGCTGTCTTATTGAATCCAAGTTGTCTGCTTGTTCTGTTTCAGGGAACAAGAGACCCACTGTTTTTGACGGGTGTCACATTCCCATCTGAGTACCCCATCTATGAAGAGACCAAAATAAAACTGACAGTCTATGATGTCAAGGATAAGTCTCATGACACGGTAAGTACTTGTACTTCTTTCTTTGGAATAGAGGAATTTATGCTTTTCCAAGCTCTTGGGCTTTTGATGCTGGAGGCATTTTTCAAGAGGAATGTTTGAACTGAGTTTATGCTTATCTTATGATTACACTTTGCTGCATGGTATTCAAATTCATTTGGCTTGTTACCCAAGTGGCAATTGGGAAAAAGCAAAAGCTTTCAAAACAGACTTTTCTCTTTTTTAGGAAGGCTGATTTGATCACTTGGTTTACATTTTTGCTGTCTTAAGCTGATTGAAATAATATTATGGGATGAAAGCAAATGGAACAGATTCAGTAATATTTCAAAATTTTCTAGATACTGTGATTCTTCTAAAAACAAGAGATTGTCAGTGCTTTACTCTTGCAATTATTCTTTTGCCTGTTGTGTCTAGAGAAACTACTTTTTCCTGGTGTTACTGTCCTCAGAGCTAACAGAGAATTTAACAGATGCATTGGGCTTTAATTAGCCTCTTTACATCAAGGTCTTGCAAAGTCCCAATGGTTTCTTTGTCTTAGATACTTCAGTCTTCCTACTTAGTTTGAATTTCTTTTCAAATGAATCATCTCTCCTGGTTAGGCTCACAGGTGTCTTAAGACTATCCCTAGTAGTGTCCATTATAAGTGTTGGACAGGTGAAGTGCTGCCTGGGACAACATTGAGAAAAGTATAGGTAGCCCAGCCCTCTCCTTCAATGCTCTACACTAGCGCAGAGGTTTGTATGTTTTCGATGCAAGAGAAAATGGGAATTGTAATAGTCAAAAGTGAACCACAAGGCAAGGAAGAGGTTTGATGATGGCAGACTGGAGCCTTTAGGGAAGCTTATGGGCCTGGAACCCACTTGGTGGCTCAGACAGGAAAGCTGTAGCTCTGAACTCTGCCCTCGCTTAGACTTTTCTGTTTTGCTCATGGTAACTCTTTCCTATAAAGCATAGGCAGAAGGAACCTGGACATCCAGTCCAATGGTGGGGATATTGAATAGAGAAAAAATAATTTATTTTGAAGGGATTCCTACTCACTTAGAACAAGAAAGATTTATTTCTCTGAAATTGTACAACAAATGCCCTGACAAGTACACAGCGTGTGCATGGACTAGAAATAGTCAAGGCAGTTTCATACAATGATTAAGAAGGGAAATTCTCCAGAAATGGTGGTGTGCTCCTTTAATCCCAGCACTTGGGAGGCAAAGGCAGGCAGATCTCTGTGAGATGGAGATGACCAGGCTGGTCTATATAATGAGTTCCAGGGCAGCTAGGTTTACAGGGAGACCCTATCTCAAAAAACAAAGCAAAATAAAAGAAGAAAAAGAAAGCAAGCCAGGTTGTCTGGATCTATTTATTTTACCTACCAGCTTTGTAACTCTGTGAGTTCATTTTTCTTTGCCTCTGTTTCCTCTTCTATACATTTATCTTATGGACTTCTTATAAGGATTAAATGAGTGAGTAAACACGTGTAAACTGTTTAGAGACTAGCTGATGCAGAGAAATGATCATTTACTACTTGCTATTACTGCTGTTATTTTTTTGGTGGGGGGAGAAACCTGCATTATAATTCCTCATAACCAGAAAACTCAGATAAAGGATTAATGAAATATTTTTCTATATTTACTAGCTTTATTTCTTGTGTGACCTAACATTGGTTGTTTTTATTTTGAAAGAGATGGAATTTGGGTTAAAATTTGAACTGCAAAAAAGCAATGTGTGGGAGGGTATGTTTTTTCCTTTCTTTTTTCTTGATTTGGACTATAATGTAGAAAAGGAAACTGTGAAGGAGATCTGTTTGATGGATTATGTATAAAGCCCCTGCTAGCTTTTCTCCTCACAAATTTCTATCAGAGTAGAGAGAGAATTAGAAGGAAGTTACCCAGTAGGGAAGAAGGGGATCTGGTTCAAATGTGTAGTAGGGGGCGATGACTTGGCTGAGCTGAGAAGTGATGAAGTAGAGGGTGATCAGGAGGGAAGGGAACGCAAGCAGAAACAATGGGTTTTACGCTCTCTAACACAAATGATTACAGTCAATTCTTCAGCAGTTCCAAAGTTCAGGTAGATAAGACAAAGAAGGTGAACTCCTATAGAGCTATAGGAGCCTGTGCTTCAGAAATGAGAAAATTTCCCTTAAATGCTTGTGGTTGTTGAGCATTTAGAAATATAAGAAATGTGTGTTAGTTACTTTTGTCATCTTGGTGACCAACTACCTCTCTGAATCTACTTAAGTAAGGGGAGGTCTGTTTGAGCTCAGAGTTAAGCTATACTGTTCATTGTGATAACGAAGGCACAGCCACAGGGGCAGCTGGGTTCATGGTAGAGGGTGACTGCATCAAGGATCTCTCAGGTCTAGGAGATGAGGAATCAGAAAGAGAGAGAGACAGAGAGACAGAGAGAGAGAGAGAGGAGGGGGTGAGAGGAAGACAGAGACATAATGAGAGAGAGAAGAGGGGAGTGGGAGGAAGACAGAGAGAGACATAATGAAAGAGAGAGAGAGACACAGACAGACAAACAGAGGCCTGAAGCAGGGCTGAACCATGACCCCCCCCGCCCCCACAAGGCCCATGCCAATCAGGTAGGATCCATATCCAAAATGTTCCACAGCTTCCCAAAACTGTAGCATGATGTATAAACCAGATATTCAGACATATAAGCCCATGAGGGACATTTCACACTGAAACCAAGACACAATTTTAGGTACCAAAGTGCTTTAGAGCTGGACATGGTGAAGGTAACTTTAATCCCAGCACTCTGAGAAGCAGAGACAGGTAAATCTCTGTGACATGGATGTCAGCCTAGTCCACATGAGGAGTTCTAGGCCAACCAGGGCTACACACAGGGAAACCCTGTCTTTAAAAAATGTATTTTAACCTACAATCCCCTTCATTTAAAATGTGTATGTTTACGGTCTGGAGAGATGGCTCAGCCATTAAGAACACTGACTGTTCTTGCAGAAGACCCTTGAATCCCAGCACCAAAATGGCAGCTAACAACTGTCCGTAACTCCAGTTCTGGGGGATCCAATGGCCTCTTCTGTCCTCTGCGGGCATTGCATGACACAGGTGCACTTACCTACAATGCAGGCATAACACTCATACACATAAAGATAAAAATAAATAAATAAAATACTAAAATAAAATAAAATGTGCATGTTTATTAATACACTACAGATAAATGGTTTGTTTACTCATTAATTATGCCTTTTGTTGACTTTAGCTCTGGAAATTAATTATTTAGAGTCCTTTAAAGACTTTCTTCCTTCATCAGTAGCGTTAGCATATTAAAATATTGGGTGAACTGGAACCTTTGCTGTGAAATAAAATTTTTGAAACTTGAGCATACTTTAAAAATGCAACTGGCTTTCATTTACCAAATGCTGTTAATTAAAGTATAACCTCTTCCTTAAAATAGTTAACAATTAGCTCTGGTGAGGGAAGTGTAAATAGAAACACAGTTCATTAATATGTTAATAGCTCCATGGACCCATGCAGTCTCCCATCTTTTTTTTTTTTTTTTTTTTTCTCATCTATGGAGTTTCTCTTTGGGGTGGGGAGAGGAAGCAAGTGGTTTAAAGTATAACTCATAATTATAAGTACTTAACACTCTAAGTATTTTTCAGATCGTACAGCTTATAAGGCATAAGGAATGAGATTGAATTTGTATATGTTTTAGAAAATCAATTAATTATATGCATACATCTAAAAGTAGGTTAACTATTTTATTCCAGCAAGATGATATTAGACCAAGGCAGAGTAATCAGAGCTTCTTACTAGTTGAACACTAATTGGTTGAGGCAGATGACTCAGTTGCTTGGGTCTTCCTATTGAGCTTATCTTAGCATGGAGTTAACCAGTCAGATAAACCTGTTAGTTTGCCACTTTTTATTCACTTGCAGACATGCTTGTATAGATGTTTTCAGAGAAACAATGACATTTTGTCTGTGTCTTCCATGCAGTTCCTACATTGCTAACTAGTTGTTGCTTTATGCACTTCTAGACAATGGGTCCTAAGATCGTTTGTGTTAGTGACTTTAGCAGAAATGCAATTAATCTTCATAATAAGAGAGAGGAGCCTAACTGTTGCTTCAGAAGGACTGTTTCTCATCCTGTAACATCCTTCATCTTTCCTATTCATGTGTGATGCCTCCCCCTGTGGCAGATGGATAGATATTATTGGGCTAAGGGTCTGGGGGACATAAAAGAATGTGAAGATGATTATTAGGATTTTGTAACATTTCGACTTTTTCTTAGTATGAGGAAATTATATTTCAGAATGAGCTGCTCTAATATCTAGCTGCTTCATGTGGATTTAAAGCCTGAACATGAAGCCCATAAGTAGAAGAGAGACCAAGATCTAGCAGAACAGTTGATATCCTGGCAGTATGTTCTCGTTGTAAGCTCCATTTAAGCCTTCTGGAACGTGAAATATGGACAAACACATTTTCAGAAGTTACTTACAATATTCAGCCTTAGGGTGTCAAATATGGAATCTGAGACTTTCACATTACAATGGGAACTTCTGAGCAAGTAGAAACTTACTTGGTAAAGAATATCAATATCACTTATCTCTCCTCCTCTCCCTTCCATTCCTCTCAGGGCATTGGAAGGTGCTCAACAAGGTTCTTTCAACTTTGTTAAGGAAGGCTGTTCAGTCTGCAAATGTTCTTTTTTCTGGTTTTTTTTTTAATTAATTTTTTTTTTATGAATGTCGATCTTCTTTCAGGACAGAAATTCCTTGAATGTTGGAATGATATATATCTTGTTCCAAAGCAGTTATATTTGTAAAGCAGAGATGAATGGATGAATGTAAAGATGAATGCATTTATGGATGGATGGATGGATGGATGGATGGATGGATAGATGGATGGATGGATGGATGGATGATAGATGGATGGAAATATGGGTGAATGGGATGGGATGGAAATGTGTAGGCACAGTGTTCATATTAAGTGTTATTGAGTTCCCAAGAGGAGAGCTTTTAGAAAACAGTCTGCAAGGCAA